ATATTTAAGCAAAAATAAATGGTGATGGCGCCGGAGCCACGAACTTAAGCAGCCATCTTCCTCGACGTCCACTCCTCCGCCCCAAAGAAGAAGAAAGTTAAACCCTCGTGGCGTGGGTCAGAAACATCTTTTTGAATAGATTTTTTTCAGATGGAAAATAACAAGAGTAAGAACTTGGTGGGCAGGATGTTGTTAACCCTTTAACTGCCAGCGCCACCATTTGGTAGAGCACATTTTGTGTCTTGATATCTTGTTGAAAAAAAAGAAAGAAGTTGAACTCCATCTGATTCAGCCAGCTCTACCATCTGGTTGACGTGTTATGCACAAAACAACCTCTAGATGTCACTGTGGTTTGAACAGAATGCCTTTCAGCTAGCTTCCACTGAGGAAGTTGGCATGCTAAAAATCACTGCTGAAGAAATCACTCTTTTTGGTCAACTTGTGTAAGGTAACCATATCAATTTTGACACATTTTAGTGTCAGAGCACTTACTGAACATATTTAGATAACTTGATGCCCAAAAAAAGTTTTAACAAGGTTGTAATTATTTTTTGGAAAATATGCTCAACCAATCGGTGGAATTGGCTTTTTATGGTAAACTAGCAATATTACTTTTTACAGAGTTTCAGAGATGTTTTCCAATAAAAGATGGTAAATAACTGGCTAGATTCATGGTAATATTACTAAATCTAGTACTGCCTTATGGGTCTCAGAGTGAAAGAGTGATAATAATGTATATAGCACCTTTCATGCATGGCACTCAGCCTAAAGTTGCACACAGATGAGCAAGTTAGGCCAACACAGGATGTAGACATTTGCTGTTAAGCCAGTGGTTTCTTATTAGGCCAATTCAGCATATACAGCAAGATGAGCAAGTCTTTCTTTTATTATGAAAAACCCTTAACATTACTTTTTTCCATTTTTTTTTTTTTACAATTATAATTTATTATCTTTTATGAATTTATCTGGTTGTATATATTACTCATTTTCCATAAAAGAAACAAATGTATTTCAGTTTGTGTTTTATTTGAGTTTGATGCATACAAATACTGTACTGCAGGGCTTCTCAAACTCCGGACCAAGGTCCGGATCCGGACCGAACTGCAAATCAATCCGGACCGAACCCTGTGTCCCATTATAAAAAAAATAAAATAATAATAATTAAAAAAATAAATAAATAAAAAAAAATTCTGATTCTGATAAATATATGTACATCATTGTGTACGCGCGTCTTGTGTCTGACGCGTGTCTGATTGTGAGAATGAACGTGCATATATATTTACTTGTGTGCGCGAGCGTGACACGCATTGCAGACCGCAAGTTAACCGCAAGTTTACCTTGACTTTCTAATGCTTCTAATGCCTTTTTTGGGTGGGGGGTGACTTTACTGGCATTGATCCGGACCAGTGACCTTGTATAAAGTTCACAAGTGGACCTTTAATAACAAAGTTTGAGTACCCCTGCTGTACTGTATATGATGATTGTTGAAAATGCACTTTTACCATAAAAGGCCAGCTTGACCAGTTGGTAGAGGCTCATAAAAACAAAACTGTGTGGTCAGTCAACAAAATAAAAATAGTTTGTAGCCCATTTGATAGAAAAATGCAAACAAATAATCTTTCCATATCTTTTTTCTTGGTCCGGCAGTTAAAGGGTTTTAATGGTGTCCAATAAGTTTGAGATCACTGAGACTGATGTAAACTATCTAAACACTCAGGGAGAAGCATACACTAAAGGAGGGAGAGGGGAGGGAGGGAAGAGAGTTCAGCCTCCTGACAGCCTGGTGAGAAGAAACGTGTTTTAGTCGGGTGGTGCTCAACCTCAGGCTGCGGAGCCTCCTCCCTGAAGGAAGGAGGGTGAAGAGGCAGGTGGAGGGATGGGTGGGGTCACCAGCAATGCTGAGTGCTTTGCGGGTGAGGAGGGTGTTGTAGATGTCCAGGAGGGATGGGAGTGAGGCATCAATGATCCTCTCAGCTGTGTTCACGATGCGCTGCAGGGTCTTGCGGTTCGATGCTGTGCAGCTTCCGAGTTGTGAATTTACTCCAGGTGTAACAAAAGTCTGATTTAAGACTTGATTATATTTCACATCATTAATCCAGATCTGTCAAGTAACTAAAGGTATTACATAAATGTGGTGGAGTAGAAGTACAAAGTAGCATAAAATAGAAATACTCAAATAAAGTACAAGTATCTCAAAATTGTACCTAAGTACAGTACTTGAATAAGTGTACTTAGTTACTTCCCACATCTGAAATCAGATATGACTTCAAGTCATGTGCTCATTTCTTAGTAGTTGATCCTTCAACTTGGCCTCAGGAAATGCAAGGACTTCACAGTTTTGCCAACAAGTTTTGGAGAATGCAAATCTGAGGCTTAAACAGGGACAGGGAGGTGCATCTGCAGCATCTTCATCATCTACCATGCAAGAAGAGGAACTAGAGGACAGTGAAGGAGACACTGAGGAGGATAGTGAGGAAGACTGCACTTATTAAAACCACGCTACGTGTGGGGTGAGTACCAAACGCTGTCTCCTGGTACTCATCTGAGTCACTCACTAAAAAAGTGATGTGCACCCCTGGATATCCAGTCTATGGATGCTAACAACAATCCCTGTAACCAGTGCCCTCTCTCTGTCTCGCTCGCTCACACAAAATGCGCTGTGCCACACGCACACAGAGCCGAGGATGGAGACAACATTTTGAAATTCTTTTTTTCTTCCCACCCTATTTGTGGGTAGATTCGCCTATACTGCCTATGCTACGAGCCGGCCCTGTACCCGCGTATAGCCGCAACTTGAAAATGTCAACTTGATCGTGATAGTTGTGTGACGCTCTGACGCACAAACCTGTCAGTGTTGAGATTCTGCTACTGTCGTGCTGACGTGCTGACGTGCTGACGTGCTGACGTGCTGACGTGCTGACGTGCTGACGTTGAATCAGTAAAGGAAAACATCAGCAGCCAGAGCTTTACAGTACCTCATATTAATTCAGTGTTTTTAATGTATGTGTATGAACCATAGACTCTGTATGGTACACACAACAGACCTCACTGCTTCCCCTAGCGGGCTGTCCTCTACAGTCTATGGCTGTCCTTTGCGTCCGCAAACACCCTCACCCGTCTTTACCTCCGAGCCCGTCTGGTTCAGCATTATTCCCGAGGAGGAGCAGGGCTTTGTGGACCAGACTGAGCGAGTATTTGTGTGGCTACTGTGTTTGGTGTTTTGAAAGTTCCGACGTGATCCACGATGTACAATATATGAAGACAAGATGCAAATGATCATGAATAGCCCTTAATGTCTTAATGTAACAATCCTCATACTGGTGTGTTGGGTATGGAATGGGATTTCTAAATATCTCAATTTATATTGTGTATCACGATACAGGTTAAAGATATTGCAATATTATTTTTAGGCCATATCGCCCAGCCCTAATTTTTATGACGTGTGAGTTGCTATATGCGATGAACTTGCTGTGTCCAACTTTGAATTATGTTATGAATCCAGACAGGAAGATGTTTGTATTATGTACATATACCTGCGCTATAAAGGATGTGTTCATCTCAACAGAGGGAAGAGGAACAAATCCAGAACAAGAGCTGGAGTGCAGAGAGACAGTGAGACCAGCACTGTACGAAGTAAGTCTAAATATCTGTCTGCTGGGGTCTTCATGTCTGAAAACAGGATTCTTCCTGGTTCATTTGTTACAGCAAAGACATTCATTCTGAACCCTTTTATTTATTTGTTTTATTTGTATTACTCACATGTTTCCTTCTCCTTCAGCAGATAGTGGTCTGCAGGAGGTTTTAGATGAACATCAGATCAGTCTGAGGAGGACATGTGAACATGTGACTGAAGGAACTGATACAAGTGAAACCCTCCTGAACAGGATCTTCACTGAGCTCTACATCACACAAGGCCTGAGTGAAGAGGTTAATACCCAACATGAGGTGAGGCAGCTGGAGACAGCTTCCCAGAAAAAGCCCCTCCATGAAACTCCAATCAAGTGCCAGGACATCTTTAAAGCCTTACCTGACCAACCTCTCATCAGAGCGGTCCTGACCAACGGAGTCGCTGGAGTTGGAAAAACCTTCTCAGTGCAGAAGTTCACTCTGGACTGGGCCGAGGGTTTAGAAAACCAAGATGTCAGTCTGGTGATCCCGCTCTCCTTCAGGGAGCTGAACCTGATCAAAGGTGAGCAGTACAGTCTTCTCAGGCTGCTCCATGTTTTCCATCCGACCTTACAGAAGGTCACAGCAGAGCAGCTGGCTGTCTGCAAAGTGCTGTTCATCTTTGACGGCCTGGATGAAAGCAGACTTTCTCTGGACTTCAGAAACAATGAGGTTGTGTCTGATGTCTCACAGCAGTCCTCAGTCAACGTGCTGCTGACAAACCTCATCAGGGGAAGCTGCTTCCCTCGGCTCTGGTCTGGATAACTTCCCGACCTGCAGCGGCCAATCAGATCCCTCCTGAGTGTGTGGACAGGGTAACAGAAGTAAGAGGCTTCACTGACGCCCAGAAGGAGGAGTACTTCAGGAGGAGATCGAGTGATGAAGACCTGTCCAGCAGAATCATCTCTCACATCAAGAGCTCCAGGAGCCTCCACATCATGTGTCTGATCCCAGTCTTCTGCTGGATCACTGCTGCAGTTCTGGACCACATGTTGACTACAGACCAGCGAGGACAGCTGCCCAAGACCCTCACTGACATGTACTCACACTTCCTGCTGGTCCTGACAAAGAGGAAGAAGCAGAAGTATGGTGCGGGACATGAGACGAGTCCACAGCAGCTGACGAAGGCTGACAGGGAGGTTCTTCTGAAGCTGGGGAGGCTGGCGTTTGAACATCTGGAGAAAGGAGACATCATGTTCTACCAAGAAGACCTGGAGCGCTGTGGTCTTGATACCACCGAGGCCTTGGTGCACTCAGGAGTTTGTACACAGATCTTCAAAAGAGAGAGAGTGATCTTCAAGCAAACAGTCTACTGCTTTGTTCATCTGAGCATTCAGGAGTTTCTGGCTGCAGTCTACATGCTGCACTGTTACACCAACAGGAACACAGAGGTACTGAAGGACTTCCTGCAGGGAGACTATAGCAACAGGTATAACAGTGATCAGGATTACCCATCCCTGGATGTCTTCCTGGAGGGAGCCATGAAGAAATCCCTCAGAAGTAAAAATGGCCACTTGGACCTGTTTGTCCGCTTTCTCCACGGCCTCTCTCTGGAGTCCAACCAGAGACTGTTAGGAGGCCTGCTGGGTCGCACAGACAACCGTCCAGAAACCATCCAGAGAGCCATCAACAACCTGAAGGACATGAACAGTGATGAAATCTCTCCTGACAGGAGCATCAACATCTTCCACTGTCTGACAGAGATGAAGGACCACTCAGTCCATCAGGAGATCACAGATTTACTGAAGTCAGAGAACACATCACGGATCTACTTGTCTTCTCTGGCCTACATGCTGCAGATGTCAGAGGAGGTTCTGGATGAGTTGGACCACGAGAAGTACGAAACATCAGAGGAGGGACGACAGAGAGTGATTCCAGATTTGATGAACTGCAGCGAGGCTGTGTGAGTCCAGATGTGATTAACTTTATAAACTAATGTAGATATTAAGTTTAGTTTTCGAATAAACACTATTCAACTTTTTGCTGTTTCAAATGCTGTGAAAGATAAATGTAATTATTCTAATAATTAAAAATGTTTCAGTTTTTTCTTTTCTTCATTTTTCTGAAGGACCTATGATTTATCACAGCAACATGTGATCACAACATACAGCAGTATTTCACAGATATCAGTGAATGCAGTAAAGTTATTATTACATTACTGCAGTTTCTTAATAGTTAAATCAGACAGAGTAATATCTGATTTATGTTGACTCTTTTAAAACAAGACCTACATAATCCCACCAAGAACAGAGGTCAGATTGTGTTTTAACGCTGATACACAGATAACATATTTTTCATGGTGTTTTGTTGAAAATAATGTAAATTTATTGGTTTGTTCAATATGTTTGTGTGCATTATACATTCTTAGACGCTTTGAGAAGCCAACACATTATGCATTCAGTGTCATGCACATCCAAATATATTAACTTTTCATTATGGACATCTCTTATATTGTCGATTTGTTTAATTTCTGTTCACTGACAGCAGAAGGTAGGTCCGACGTGACAAACAAAAGATCACACTGAAAATGCTTACAGCAAACTCAATAAAATATGAATTACTAACATCAGAGTTATTCAAAACATTATATTCAAAATGGTTTTTCAACAAATGCATGAAGTAAATGTAATGTTTCCCCTTGTTTTATAATAACATGCTGTAATATATGTGTCATTGCAGATTTCCTTACTGTGGAATCTCAGACTCTGACTGTGAAGTCGTGGCCTCCGCTCTGAAGTGCGACCCCTCCCACCTGAGAGAGCTGGACCTGAGAGCCAACAAGCTGCAGGATTCAGGAGTGGAGATGCTGAGTTCTGGACTAAAGAGTCCAAACTGTAAACTGGAGTATCTCAGGTCAGATCACTGGCTGTAGTTCATGTGGATTTCTATTCATTTAACATTTATATTATTTCTAATTCCAGAGTTTAGTACTAAGAGTTCAAAGACATTTACATTATTTTATATTTCTTTCTAAATGGCTGAGTATTTTAAAGACCAACAAAAAGCAGAGAAAGTAAATGTGTGACTCTGAAGTCCAACCGCTCTCATGTGAGATATCCTTTCAGCCTTCACTCTCACTGTGCTCCATGAGTCAGTGAAGATGCTGTCAGTACTGATGAGCTGTGAGGGAGATGAAGGAGGTCAAAGATGCTGCTGAGAAAAACTGCTGCAGAGAGTTTGAGCTTATCAATTGTTTTGAATCTACATCCTTTGAAGAATATGGAGGGTGGTGAGGGTGGTTGGTTCAAGGACTAAACAGTCAACGCAGTGGATTTAAAGATGAGCACATGGAGGCAGGAGTTCCAGATCATTGTTTTATTGTAATTTGTTGATTCTTGTTTGTCTTAATTGTTGTCTGGTTGATCTGGTAGGAAAGTACAACACATCTTAGTTAGTTCAAACATAACATTCATACTTCAAATGATACTCCAGCAAAGCAGTTATCTTTCTACATTATTATATGTAATGTAGAAATAAAGTAACCAAATCTAAACGGTACAGAAAATAGGGAGGTAAACTACTGGAGCTGCTATGAACATACAATACAAAGGAAAGGAACACGTACTGATTATTTACTCAAACGATTGGTTCTCAGGAGTTGCATGAGGCCAGCCAGCTTCTTTGTTCATGGGGGAAAGGATTTCCCACAGGTGAGCTGGAGGAGGGAGCAGGTAGAGGGAGGCCGGAGTGGGAGAGGGGTTTTCCACATCATTGCTGACATTAAAACCATTTTGAGCTCTGAACCGATTATTAAACCTTAGAGATATTATTTATTATTATGAAATGATTCTGATTGTATATAACATAAATGAAATATATGATTGTAGGCATTATCCAGGTATCTGCCGAAACATTGGCGTGTCATTATAAAGTTCAAACAAGAGAAACGTGGATTTAGGAAACACAAAAAAAAGATAATGCACTTGATAACTATATAGAGACAGTCTACATTATCTCGTCACTTCTGCCCAGAAGCATCAGCAAACTTGGAGATTGATTTCTCACAATCTTCGTCCAAACAGCCCCGAATGTTCCCTGCAGCAAAATGCATTTAGGGCAGCATGGAGCGCCCTCAATGCCCTGAGAAGACAGACCATCAGACAAAACATTACGAGGGCAACTTGCTCCAGCGGACAGCACTCTCCCCTCAGGAGGCCATACCTCAAAAATAGCCAGCTCCACTCAATCACAGTTACTTCTGTCTGTTACAGAACATCGGTTGGCTGCTTCGAGTAGTTATTGGGGAATCCATCTTTGATTCAAATCCATTTAACTTATGCTCCAAGCAAGGAAACAACTGATCTTTTTCCTCAAAGCATGTTTTAGAAATATATTTTGTTCCCGTATGATTACTGTAACAAAGAGAAGAGTGCAAATGTACAGAAGCCGTGAGTGGGCGGCAAACTATCCATGTGAAGCTTTTGCTGGACTCAGTTGAAGGCTGATTGACTGGAAGCAGAGTGCAGTGTTGAGAGTGAATTGCTACAAGGATTATTTTAACTATACCAACTGTGGCTTGCTGAAAGCGATGACCTTTACACGACAAGTTATTGTGAGTGACCTGAATAGTTGGATGCCGCCTGAACCAAGTTCACATTGTTCCTTTCATGTTATTTGTAATGATGTATTGTTTTATGGGATTTATTTACAGATAATGCAATCCTTATTTTGAAATCTAAACAATCTAAACTGTGAGCTATTTTTATTCACATTTCTCATGATCAATGAAATCTGTATACATACTGTAATTGCATCTTCTTATCACCGATTATCACCGATTATGAAACCTTAGAGAACCTTATTATCTCCTTGGATGTCCGGTGGGTCTGCAGCAGGCTTCATCTGAAACTGAGATTTCTGAGTTTCTTTCACTGTCCTTTTTTCTGTAGAGGAAGTAAAGAAACTGTAACTCTGGATTTATTTGTTGTTTGAGGTGCAGTATATGACTCAGCAGCTTTAAGACATGAAGACACTATTATTTTACACTTCGCTCTAATGAAAGTAGGCGGGGACAGAAATGACTTTAGCGCCCTTTCTAGGAACTTTGTTTTCTAAAGTTACATCATGTTTTCTTTATTCAGACTGAGAGGCTGCAGGTTGTCAGAGATCAGCTGTTCTGCTCTGATCTCAGCTCTGAAGTCCAACCCTTCACATCTGAGAGTTCTGAACCTGAGTTACAACAAGCTGCAGGATTCAGGAGTGGAGCTGCTGAGAGATCTTCTGGAGAGTCCAGACTGCAGACTGGTGGTTCTCAGGTCAGTAAGGGGTCGACTCTCTGCTGATTCAGCAGTATTGTATTAAACACAGGGAGGTGGAGGGGTTCCTCTCACTGGGGAATCTCTCCAGGTCCACCTTCCAGGCGTAGCCTAGCTTAGCACAACAAATCATGGATGTTACCATTTGTCTGCAGTTTCTCCTTTTGTTCATCTTATGTTTCTTTTCTTTCATTCTCCCAAGAACAATATAATGCAAGCTGACAATGCAAAGCCACATGTTAGTCAGTGCAACTTGTTACCAGACATATGGGATTCTACAGAACATGTGTTGACTGTGGCAGACTAATGTTGAGCTTTACATTAAAATACAACAAGAAAATCCTACACTTCATAATTCACTCTGAACATTGAAACACCTGGAGTTCATTTTATATTCTCTATCAGGTTTCTTTTATAAATGATATAATAAACAGTTTATTACAGTTAATACATATTTCTATCAAAACTATTAAACACTAACAAATAATGTCAGGTTTAGCTGTTTCTCACATTTGTATGAAGCTACATGATGCTCATACTGACTGAGGAGTTTAAACTGAAGATGCTTTGGATGTATGGCTCCACTATTCCTAAATAAATATTTTCTATTTATTTTTTATCACATTTCTTCTAAATTCATTCCGACATATTTGTCATATTTGTAAACTGTGTGATCTTGAGTTGAATCAGTTTCAGTGGGTTTGTATTAGTCTGGCTGCACATCATGAGTTAGTGTAGATGGAGCAGAGGTTCAGATGTGAAGTCTCCACTTTTTATTGAAGGTGAAGCACGTTGTCTTTCATATTAATGAGAGCTCTTTTCTCTTTCTGGATCTTACAGTTTTTAACCTGTCAGGATGTCCACTTTATAAACTCCTACATTCTCTACTTCTCCAGCTATAAACAGATTATTGAACCTTGAATATTTTAAGCTGAAACTTTGTTTTTCTAAACTTACATCATGTTTTCTTTATTCAGTCTGCAGGGCTGCAGTTTGTCAGAGATCAGCTGTTCTGCTCTGATCTCAGCTCTGAAGTCCAACCCATCCCATCTGAGAGATCTGGACCTGAGTCTCAACGCTCTGCAGGATTCAGGAGTGGAGCTGCTGAGAGATCTTCTGGAGAGGCCAGACTGCAGACTGAAGACTCTCAGGTCAGTTCTCCATCTTTAACTTCTGTGCTGAGATGAATATGTGAGAGTTGTGTTGACTCTGAGTTGCAGACATCAGGCTGATATGATCCTGATCCTCTCTCTCTCTCCCCCCTTCGCTGCTCTCTCTCCCCCCCATGCGTTCCTCTCTCTCTCCCCTTCGTTCCTCTCTCTCTCCCCCCCTTCGCTGCTCTCTCTCTCTCCCCCCTTCGCTGCTCTCTCTCTCCCCCCTTCATTCCTCTCTCTCTCCCCCCCTTCGCTCCTCTCTCTCTCCCCTTCGTTCCTCTCTCTCTCCCCCCCTTCGCTGCTCTCTCTCTCTCCCCCCTTCGCTGCTCTCTCTCTCCCCCCTTCGTTCCTCTCTCTCTCCCCCCCTTCGTTCCTCTCTCTCTCCCCCCCTTCGCTCCTCTCTCTCTCCCCCCCTTCACTCCTCTCTCTCCCCCCCTTCGCTCCTCTCTCTCTCCCCCCTTCGCTCCTCTCTCTCCCCTCCGGTACACAGCACCGTCAGACGTAGTGTGGAGTTGCATTAGGTAACGCGAGATACGGCTGATACTTGCGCATTCGTTTCTGTCATGGATCAGTATCAACAGTCCTGCCAGTAACGTTTCTATATGATCAATACTACTTTAGTTATAGCCTGATATATGATAGCTAACTTTACAATGTTGTGATGTGACCGACGTTAGCTAACATGAACTGTAGCTAACGCCGGTCACTCACCAAGACAGCTGCCCTGTTCTCCACGGGTTCTCCTCACACCACAGCTCCATTTCTCTCCGATGGCCGTTATTCCTTCTAATCCTTGGCTGCTCCTGGTCTCTTGGACGCCTAGCAGGCTCATCATTATAAGGTTGTGGTCCGTCATATGCATTCAAATATACATTTTCAACCTCTTCTGTGTCAAAAGTAGCATTGTGATCCATGTTTATTAATACGTTAGACCGGCCGCTCTCCCTCATGTGACGTCACACGCGGGTGGTCTTTTTTTATGCGGAAGTAAAAATGTCTCACAAAAACCACGCCAGATGTCACTGTAGTGTTTATTTATGTATATTCTTTTGAAAATCTAGTGTATACATCATTTTCCTACACATTTATTCACTGGGGTCTCTAACCTGCAAGTTGCTCTTTAAGGAAAAATCAAACTGCATAATTCACTCTGAACCTCCTAAAAACCTCAAATTCATCTTATATTCTCCATCATGTGTTTTAAATAAATGACATTTTAAACACATGAATACAATAATTAAATATTTATATTAAAACTATCAAACACTAACAAATATGTTCAGTTTTAGCTGTTTCTCACATTTGTATGAAGCTACATGATGCTCATACTGACTGAGGAGTTTAAACTGAAGATGCTTTGGATGTATGGCCCCACTATTCCTAAATAAATATTCTCTATTTATTTTTTATCACATTTCTAAATTCATCCCGACATATTTGTCATATTTGTAAACTGTGATCTTGAGTTGAATCAGTTTCAGTGGGTTTGTTTTAGTCTGGCTGCACATCATGAGTTAGTGTAGATGGAGCAGAGGTTCAGATGTGAAGTCTCCACTTTTTATTGAAGGTGAAGCACGTTGTCTTTCATATTAATGAGAGCTCTTTTCTCTTTCTGGATCTTACAGTTTTTAACCTGTCAGGATGTCCACTTTATAAACTCCTACATTCTCTACTTCTCCAGCTATAAACAGATTATTGAACCTTGAATATTTTAAGCTGAAACTTTGTTTTTCTAAACTTACATCATGTTTTCTTTATTCAGTCTGCAGAGCTGCAGTTTGTCAGAGATCAGCTGTTCTGCTCTGATCTCAGCTCTGAAGTCCAACCCATCACATCTGAGAGTTCTGTACCTGAGTCAGAACGCTCTGCAGGATTCAGATGTGGAGCTGCTGAGAGATCTTCTGGAGAGTCCAGACTGCAGACTGGAGGCTCTCAGGTCAGTTCTCCATCTTTAACTTCTGTGCTGAGATGAATATGTGAGAGTTGTGTTGACTCTGAGCTGCAGACATCAGGCTGATATGATCCTGATCCTCACTGAGTATCTTGATGCTAAAGTCTGTTTTCTTCTTCTGTGGTTTCTTTCCCTGACAGTGGCAGAGCAATATTCAGCTTTAAATGTAAATATTATAATAAGAATTATACTCTGCATAATTCAAACTGAACCTCCATCAAGCTTTATTTCACTACATTATATAAAAGACAAATTAGTACAATTAATAAGTATTTCCAATCAAACACAAAACATATATTCAGTATTTGCTTCTTCCAACATTTTTATAAAGCTAAAAGATGCTTATACTGACTGAATAGTTTGAACTGACCATGTGATCATGTGTTCTTTATTCAGACTGAGGCGCTGCAGGTTGTCAGAGATCAGCTGTTCTGCTCTGGCCTCAGCTCTGAAGTCCAACCCCTCCTACCTGAGAGATCTGGACCTGAGTAAGAACGCTCTGCAGGATTCAGGAGTGGAGCTGCTGAGAGATCTTCTGGAGAGTCCAGACTGCAGACTGGAGACTCTCTGGTCAGTAAGGGGCCATTTGTCTGCAGTTTCTCCTTTTGTTCATCTTGTGTTTCTTTACTTTCATTATTATCAAGCAATATAATACAAGCTGACAATGCAACGCCACATTTCAGTCAGGAGCAACTCATTAACAGACAAATGGGATGTTACAGTTAAAAAGGAAGTATGTTTGTTTTTCTATGTTCCTGGACTAATGCCTAGTGAATTCTCTAATGCAGCTGAGAGCTGTGGGCAGTCAGTCGTAGTGTTTGCAGAGAAGATATGATGTGATGTAAAGCATTGGATCAGTCAGGACTCTGAAGCTGACTAACTCAAAGAACTAACTATTTTTTAACTTGATCTCAAACTGTTGGATTGTGTTCATCCCTGCAGGATAAATGACGAGCCAATCAGAGCCAAGATACAGAAGAACTGTGAGTACTGAACCATACCCTCCATTCATCAATATATTGTACAATACATCTGATCTTAAAAGGTATTTATAGTACAAGAATTATGATTGTTTTATTATTATTGTTCTCCGTTACCTCTTCTCTCCATCAGGTGACTCCGATGTGGAACAGGAAGTGAAGACAGACAGAAAGGTGAGAGAGGAGCAGTTGAGAGTTGAAGCTAGAACTTAACTTGATTTCTAATCAAATAAATAACTTTGTTTGTTCCAGGCTCCTGAATCCTTCTCACCTGAACACACAACTGAGTCTTCATACAGGTAATCCTATAACATGACCAAATATTATTTTAAACACATTGAAAATATATATTAATTTAATTGTGTTTAATTTCAAGTCTTTCACCTTGAGGTATTGCATCCAATCTCTTTCCAGCAGACATCAATAAGATAATGCCTCTGTGTGCAGGATTGTTTTCTTGTACCAGTCTAGATCCTCGCTGGACTAGACATTTTGTTAATTTAATGAAAATGTATTTACACACATTCTGATGCATGTGGACACATCTTCAGTGATGCTCCTGTAATCATCAGGTGTTTCAGATCTTTCAACAAACCCTCCTCCAGGTCATAGTAACTTGTCTCTTGTGTGTCTACAGGTTCAGGTGTCCTGGTCCAGGTATG